ATAAGTAGAAGAGGGATGCTTTGTAGAGGCTTTGGAAGGGTTTTTGGTCGAAGATTTTTTGGGAGGAGAGTTTGATGGACCAGGCTGAGAAGAAGAAGGAGGAATGGTTGAAGATGTGGGGAAGGTAGGTTGAGAAGAGATGACCTCGTCCTCCTCTGGCTCATCCAACGAGCCAAGGGCAGGTCGACGATGGCGGAAGGGAACGTTGTCCATAGTATCCCCTGAATTAGGAGAAGCAACACGGGCTGTAAAAACGGTCGTAGGAACGGTATCGCCAGGGCCAAGGATAGAGAGAGGAACAGCTTCGTGTGCGGAGGGCAATATTTGAACTGAATCAGAGGAGGTGGTCGAAGTAACAGAATCTGAAAAACAAAAAAGAGAACAATATCAAAAAGGGGAATTTCGACGATAAGGAAAAGAGGAGAGGAGAAGGTTTTCAAAGCTAGGGTTTTCTGGGAGCGGGGTGTTCTAAAAACGAGGGGCTTTGGTCTTGAAACTTGTCTACCCCAAGGGATGTTCCGAAAACATGGTGGTCGTCCAACCCAGAGACTGGACTTTTTCGACCACCTGCCCACCCCAAGGAATGTTCGAAACAAGCAACCTTCGTCCACCCCTTGAGAGGGGTGTTCCAAAATCGAAGGGCTTTGGTCTTGACACTTGTCCACCCCAAGGGATGTTCCGAAAACATAGTAGTCGTCCAGCCCGGAGGCGTGGACTTTTTCGACCACCTGCCCCCCAAGGAATGTTTGAAATAAGCGAACCTCACCCACCCCTTGAGCGGGGTGTTCCAAAAACGAGGGGCTTTGGTCTTGTCACTTGCCCACCTCAAGAGATGTTTCGAAAACGTGGTGGTCGTCTAGCCTAGAGGCGTGGATTTTTTCGACCACCTGCCTACCCCAAGGAATGTCCGAAACATGTGACCCTCGACCACCTCTTGAGCCGGGTGTTCCAATAACGAGGGGCTTTGGTCTTGTCACTCGCCCACCCCAAGGGATGTTCCGAAAACATGATGGTCATCCAGCCTGTAGGCGTGGACTTTTTCGACCACCTACCGACCCCAAAGAATGTTCAAAACCAGCGACCCTCGCCCACCCCTTGAGCGGGGTGCTCCAAAAACGAGGGGCTTTGGTCTTGTCACTTGCCCACCCCAAGGTATGTTCCGAAAACATGGTGGTCGTCCAGCCTGGAGGCGTGGACTTTTTTGACTAGCTGCCTACCCCAAAGAATGTTCGAAACACTCGACACTCGCCCACCCCTTGAGTGGGGTGTTCCAAAAACGAGGTGCTTTGGTCTTGTCACTCGCCCACCCCAAGGGATGTTCCGAAAACATGGTGGTCGTCCAGCCCAGAGGCATGGACTTTTTTTACCACCTGCCCACCCCAAGGAATGTCCGAGACAAGCGACCCTCGCCCACCCATTGAAAGGGGTGTTCCAAAAGCGAGGGATTTTGGTCTTCTCACTTGCCCACCCCAAGGGATGTTCTGAAAACATTGTGGTCGTCCAGCCTAGAGGCGTGGACTTTTTCGACCACGTGCCCACCCCAAGGAATGTTCGAAATAAGAGACCCTCGCCCACCCTTTGAACGGGGTGTTCCAAAAACGAGGGGCTTTGGTCTTGACACTTGTCCACCCCAAGGGATGTTCCGAAACATGGTGGTCGTCAAGCCCGGAGGCTGTACTTTTTTTGACCACCTGCCCACCCCAAGGATGTTCGAAATAAACGACCCTCGCCCACCCCTTGAGAGGGGTGTTCCAAAAACGAGGGGCTTTGGTCTTGACACTTGCCCACCCCAAAGGATGTTCCGAAAACATAGTGGTCGTCCAGCCCGGAGGCGTGGACTTTTTCGACCACCTGCCCTCCCAAGGAATGTTCGAAATAAGCGAACCTCGCCCACCCCTTGAGCGGGGTGTTCCAAAAACGAGGGGCTTTGGTCTTGTCACTTGCCCACCCCAAGGGATTTTTCGAAAACGTGGTGGTCGTCC